GCTTAGGTCTGGGCTAGACTTAGGCCTAGCTTGGACCTAGACTTGGTTTGCCCTAAAAACAAACGCAATATGCAAATTCAGCCAACACTCCCCAAGATTCACTCCAAGTCCCACTACGTACCCAGCAATGTTGTTTGCGATTTGCGAGTGGGGGCCGCCCGATTTTGATTCGTTTTCCGGCATCTTTCCCTTCCAAATCTGGTTGTTTTGGGCCCGTCGCGGGACACGGAGGATGGGATTTGTTCGCTCGCGAATTTACGGAGATTTTGCCTACGCCTGGCTTGGCTCGAAATGACGGTTTATTAGTGCTTAAACTGGGTGGTTTGTCATGAGTCAATCCGGTGGATTTTGGTTGTTAGAAGAAAATATCGTAGCATCTCACTTTCTCACTTTCTCTCTCTCTCTCTCTCTCTCTATCTCCCCTCTGCCCCCTCGCTCTCCCCCCCACCCCCCCCCCCCTCTCTCCCCTCTCTCTCTCTCTATCTCTCCCTCTCTCTCTCTCCCTCTCCTGAAAGTTTAAAGGCCAATAGGCGGCTCCCAAAAATAAGCCACGTCGTTGCTTTCTCTGACTCTCTATATCCTCCTTCTCCTCCTCCTCGTCCTCCTGAAGGACCAACGGAAGTCACGGTCACTGCCCCCGGAATCTCCATTTTGGGAAACTGCCCGCGTGTTCACACTTCCAACCCAGCCTCGCCTGTTTTCGCGCTGACGAATTTTTTATTTTCCTCCTGAGACTCCAGAGGACGAGCTCGGGATCGATTATGGCTGAATTTCTCGGAAGAAATGGGGGAAATGGTCCTTATTTTACCCTATTTTTTTGTATATTTCTGCGTCGTTTGGGGGATGGTTTACTTTGATAGTCATTGGTACTTGGCCGTTGTACTTTTTGAGGCTAAATTCAGAATCGGCTTAAGCTTGTTATCTGTAGATGTTCTGGGCTTGATCATTGACTTGAAGCCGTTCAAGGTTAGGCTGGGCTTAGGCTAGGCTTAGGGTTAGGCTTGGCATCGCCTTGGCTTAGGCTTCGTTTCGGGCTAGACTTAGAATTAAGTTTAGGTTTAAGCTAAACTTTGCCTTGGCTTAGACTTAGGCTTGGGATTATTCTAGCTTAACATCGGATTAAATGCCTGTCTCACCCTCTGCCTCTCTCTCTCTCTCTCTCTCTCTTTTTCTCTCTCCCCCCCTCTCCCTCCCTCTCTCGCAAAACTGTTTTCCCCGATCCTTTTCACGAAACTGCTGTTATGCCCTCCAAGTGTCCCGTCTTGGGTGTGTGCAATTTTGTTGGTAGTTGAAGAATGACGGGTCTACCGGAAGCCCACCCTCTCGCGCTCTTTTCTTTTCTCCGGGGGTTGGGCCCCTGTTGCTGGACCCATACTCCTCGTTATCACCCCCAGCTTCAAGGGCCTTCCCCCAACTCGTACTCCACCCCCACACACTTACACAGGCAGCCCCAAAAATTCTGGATGTTCAGAAAAATTCCGGCATGATCCCATGTACCTTTAATACCAAAAAAGAATAAGCTTCTACAGAGTTTTTTGCTATTAGTAAACACAAAAATATTGTCGATTTTCCATCAAAAATGGCCGAATTAAATAATTATAATTCCATAATATTGCCCTGCCTGTGCCTTTAAAACTGAATACATCATTTCTGAGAATGCAATATATACATACAGTACCTAGGTAATATAGAACAATGAATGGAATTAGGATACGAGGATACGTGTATTTTGCACTTGGAATGATTCCCCTTGAGACTGCCAGCACTCTCTCTCTCTCTCCCTCTCTCTCTCTCACTCTCTCTCTGGCTTTCGCTCTCTCTCAGACTCTCTCTTTCTCTCTCGCCCTTTGCTCTCCGACTTTTGCACGTTTCACCGTTCCAAATCCGGAGCTCCCTCGGGATTTTGTATAATTTTTGGAAAAATTTGTATCTTGATGTTAATTCCGGAATTAGTATCCGCATTCTACACCCTTTCCCCAAATATCTGCAAATCTGCGGATCTAGCAAAGATTCCTTAGGATTGATTCTTTCGGGCCTTGACGTTTCCCCATTTTTAGAGCGTTACTTTTGACGCGCCGTCAAGGGTACTTGAATTCTTTGAGCCGCTAAATTGCATTAGACCATCTTTGATTTCCAGAAATTTTCAGTCTCTCGGAGCTAGCATTTTGACCATTTTGTCGTTTTCTGGTCCCTTTATAGAAGGAGTCTGTATCTAGCTCTTTATTGGATTTAAACTCTGTGATTCCGATTTAGAGACAGAATTACACATAGAAAAACGCGTTATTTCTAGTTTCGGCGTTTTTAGAATGTTCTGCAGGGCAATGCGTTTTTCGTGCCCTACCGGAACTAATACGGGGATTACCGTCGTCATCGTAGGCTAGGTGTTCTTGGGATTCTGCGTACTTGGGGAGGTGTATTTGGAAACTATCGAGCGTCTATTTTCGTGGTTGGGCCGGACGATGAGCGTAGCGTCTGGGATTTAATTTTTTTGTATGAATTTTGGGCAGGCTAGCAGAGACTATTTAGAGACGAGAGAGAGATACTATGAGAGTGAGCTAGATATCAGGAATACGATGTGTGAGAGCGAGAGAGCGAGAGAGAGGGAGAGTGAGCGAGAGAGATATCCAGAGCGTGAGCGCGTGAGAGCGAGAAACAGAGAGTGAGAGATCGGGATGTACGATGTGAGAGAGAGAGCGAGAAAGACAGAGAGCGAGAGCAAGAGTGAGAGAGATAGAGCGAGCGGAGCGCGAGAGATAGGGAACGGGAGAGAGAGAGCAGGAGAGTGAGCGAGAGAGAGAGTGAGGGAGATACAATGCGGATACGGAAAGTGAGATAGTGATATGAGCCCGAATTCTTGCCTTCACACTCCCTTTAAAATCGTACAATTTGCAGTGGATGCAGAAGAAGCCAAATCCCATTCCCCCATTCACTTGACTCATCCCCTTTTAGTTGATCAAAGCTGACGCTTGGCCCGTCATCTTCCTCCCCTGCCGTCCAGTTCGAGGAGTTTTTGTAGCTTCTTTTCCGCTCCACCCTCACTCGTGCGTCATCTCCCCCTAAAAGGGTGGCCCAGTTCTGAAATAAATAACGCCCACTTTGCTCATTGGCATTTTCAAACCACCAAACAGGTCATGTTTTCGAAAAATATTTTTCTCCATTAATGCGTAGTCTAAAGGTTAAAAAATATTGAGCATCTTATTTAGGTAAAAGTGATTTTGCGTTTTTTTTCGGGATTTCCCAAACCATTTACCAAATATACCACAAGTTTTACTTTAAGCCCAAAATAACATAAATCAACCATTTATGGCAATAACAAGCAAATCCGCAAAAACTGCGAGACAGGAATTTAATTTTATGAATTTTAATATTTATTTTTTTCCCATTTTACGACCGGGAGATGCAAGCTGGGATCTAAGGCTCTTTTTTAGATCTTTAGATTAAATTTTTAGGTTTTTCTATTGGCGTTGTTAGGCTCGCGGTGTAGCTGTCGACACCAAGTCAATTTCGGAGGTAGATTTTGTCACTTGCCAGTCCCTTTCAAACACCAAAAAACCCAATCGCCAATTTCCAGAAAATCAATCTAAAAGATCGATTCTGTCATTTTTCTAATCTTTAAACCGTCAAAAATCCAAATTTTCACGTCACTCCTATCGTCAATTTCCGGAAAATTCGGCTGAATTGAATTTTTCGAATAAATCCACGAATGGGCCTCCAATTTGAGAGGGGAGTGGGCCTTAGAATTCAATTGAGATTCACCCTAATTGGCGGAAATTCATAAAGTTCATCGGGAAATGGGACGGTAATTACGTGGAAATTGTCGCCAGGCCGGCCAGGGGAACGTTGCGTAGCGAAATTGGGGGCAAAGATTTGAGATTGTCTCTTCTGTACCTGGTCATGAGATGGATACACTACCCGCGAGGATGCGGATGACGTCTTCCCGCCAATCTTGTTTTGAACGTTTTGATGTCTTAAAATGGTCCTGTTGGGGGTGGCACTGTACACGTGTTGTCTGGCGTTCTTTAGAAAAATGTTTGCGAGTCCTTGGTGGTATTTGCTAGCTTGCCTTTTGTGCTTTAAGCTTGAGGATACTATCCTGTCTTTTCAAGAATTGCTGTCCCTTTCTTTCTCTAATGATCTCGGCTAACTTGCCTCTTCCTAAAGTTACCGTATTTTTTTTGATTTTTCGTAATTTTTCTAAAATTTTTCGTGATTCCCCAATGATCTTGGCTAGCTTGCCTCTTCTTAAAACAGCCTGTGAATACAATCGTCTTGTACAATCGTCTATTTTCTAATTTTTCTAAATTTTTTTAAAAATTTTGTACCTCAAGGACCGCTGCTAGCTAGCCCTTTTGCTTAAAGAAGCATTAGTTTGGTCAGTTTTCTTGTTTATTCGGCAGTTGTCTCTACTTTCCTGACTTTTTCGGAGTTGCTGCACTTCCTCAATGATTTCTGCTAGCTTATCCTTTTGTGGAAGCCCTCCAGAGTGTGGGGTATTTACCGCCGTTGCCAATTTTTCAAATGGTCCCTGCTAGCTTGCCCTTTTCTGGAAAAGTTTTATGTGCTTTTAACGGTTCCGAAAAACCATTAAATCGAACCGACCAGAAATATCTATTGTTGCAAATCGATGTATTTTCTGTATTAATTTACGATGTAGTAATTTTTGGAGTTTTTCATCTTTTTATGTAAATTATTTCTCAAATACTTGCCTTTCCTGGCCCCTGAATCAAACATTTAGACGTCTCGCTACATACCAGGATTTTCATTTGGCCATTTGCAAGCGATATATTTCGCAAAATTGTAGTGGACACGTTATGGGCTCTCTCTCTCTCTCTCTCTCTCTCTCTCTCTCCTCCATTCCGCCTCGAGTAATTCATTTGCCCCCTTCCACCTACCGTACCCCTCTCTTTGCAGGCGGTCCTCGCTGAGACTTGGCCCCCATCCGCAGGCAGAGCAGAAGAAGACCCCCTAACCGGTCCTCTTCCACCCCCTCCTATCAGATGATGTTCGACGAGCCATCAGCACCCGCCAACAAGTCTATCACCACACCCAATCATCAACAACAGCATCATCATAGCTATTCCACATCGTATTCTACGGCATCGTGGTGCAGGTACGGCAGTGGCTTGGGCTATGGCTTACGCATAGGCTTAGGCTTAGGCTTAGGTTTAGGCTTAGGCTTAGGCTTAGGCTTAGGCTTAGGCTTAGGCTTAGGCTTAGACTTAGGCTTAGGCTTAGGCTTAGGCTTAGGCTTAGCTTAGGCTTAGGCTTAGGCTTAGGCTTAGGCTTAGGCTTAGGCTTAAGCTTAGGCTTGGGCTTAGGCTTAGGCTTAGGACCAATCCCCGACTGGTATCCTTGTCTTGGGTTAGACTTAGGCATGGACAGGCTTAGGCTCAAGCCCGGTTTAGGCTTAGGCTTTGGCTTAGGCGACGTCCGTCGTAACCGAAACTGACCGGGGCAGGCTAGCAGAGAGACTTTTCGGATTTTTGGGATGATTAAAAACTGTCAGGGCCATTTTTTTCAGAATACCGTCAACGCTGTCGATTCTGCTGTGCTTCCTGTTTCTGCTATCATTAGTGCAGGCGGCATGTGCTCAGACGGAAGATCAGGGATGTGGAGAGCACCCACTCAAAGGCATCCTGCAAAAACTCGAGATTTCCCGTGAGTTATGCTAATTGTTAAGTAGATTTTCTAGTCGATATGCATTCAAAAAGTTTGCTTGTACGTTGCGAATTATTATCTACAAATTTTCCACCTCCTCACGTCACCCGGAACATAAATATATTTTGGGGCTGCTCCGGTATCTGGGGAGCTGTCGATTTTGAGGCCCCCGGGCCCGGGAGGTCTCCATCAAAAACCCGAGGCAAAATTAGACCTCGTCCGGGAAAATGGCAGATGATTGGGGCAGGGGGGAATTGATGAAGCTTGTTGGGAGGAGAAGAAGAAGAGGAAAATTGGTTTCGACGAATCAACCCCGGCCCCCTACCCCTGATGCTCGAAATGAGAAAAGATGGAGCATTGCAGCATGGTTGGGCGGATTTTGGGCACCGGATATGGGGGCTAAAAGTGATATCGGGAAGCTGAGAGGCTCAAGCATACAGTTTTTCGTTGGTTCGAACTCGAATTTGTCGCTGAATTTGAATCCGTAAAATCCAAGCCCTAGCGGGAAGACATCAAAATTCCGACAGCCTAAAACCCCGACAGCCAAATCCCCACAGGCCAAAATCTCAACAGCCGAAATCCCGACAGGCCAGAATACCGACAAGAAAATTCCGATAGAAAAACCCCGACAGCCAGATCCTGACGAGGCAAAACCCTGACGCCCAAATCCCGATAGGCGAAATCCTGATCGCCAAAATGCCGACAACCAAAAACCCGACAGCCAAAATCCCGGAGTCCAAATCCCGAAAGCAAAATTCGCGGACTACCATACTTTACTAGCAGACTGTTGGTGTTGGTATGGAACCTCTTCCCTTGTACGGCCCCAAAAAATGCCCCCAAGCTACCCGATTTGTTTTCTGAATTCTTCGGCGTCTGTGTTCGCAACACGCGCCACTACAAGATGACGCCAACCCCTCTTTTTCTGTCTGTCTGTCTGTCTGTCTGTCTCTCCCACCAGTTGTGATGGGGTGAATGGGGTCGTTTGTGTGTTTTCGAAACGCGACTCTCCAAGAAGTCTCGGTGGTCGCTAAACACAGCAAAACGGTTTTAGGGTATTTTAGGGAGCTAAACATATGTAGTAGCAGTAGGGAGAGAGAGAATGAGAGAGAGTGAGAGAAAGGGAGAGAGAGAGAGCGAGAGAGAGACTTTATCGATCGTTTTGTTACAGGGCCAAACCTAACGTTCGAGCAGACGACCCGACTACTCCAGCAGGTTCGCCACCGCTACCCCCGGCTGTGGCGCTCGTTTGAGGCGGCGCTCTCCCAATACACCAACTGCATGATGATGACCCGATCCGGGTCTCTCGGCTAACAGGTTAGCTTTAAGAAATGGGCTTACTATTAGGCTTCGGCTTAGGTTTCGGTTAGGCATAGGCTAGGCTTAGGCACAGGCTTTAGACTTATGCTGGGGCACTGGCTTACTTAGCTTAGGTGGGTTTAGGCTTAGGCTTTGGCTTACCTGACTTCAGCAGACCCAAACTTACGTGTACCTTTAGAAGACGGTAATTCAGGTATCCCTTCCGATGTTGGCGGGCCAACTGCGACAAATGCGAAAAACCCCGGCAAAAACCCCCGATTTTCGACACCGTGTGCCGAGCAATGTTTTACACTACTGTATACTCCATATCACACACTGCTTCTCTCTCCCCCCTCTCTCTCTGTCTCTGTCTCTCTCTCTCGTCGTCTCTCGCTGTCTCTCTCCATATTCCATGATCTCGAGCCCTCGTCCTCCCCCAACAATTAATTCCGAAACGATCCCCTCTCTTTCAACGTTTGGTGTCTATGATTTGAGCCGCAGCAGCTACCGTACCCCTTGCCTAGCCCCCCCCCGCTAACAGAACATTCCCAAACACACAACAAACGCGACCCCCAGAAAACAGCAGAATAAATGTTGTACCCTGTTATTGGGGAAATTGTGGAAATTGCATATAAAGGACAAGAATTGGATTGGTTTTGGGACTTTCCGATTTTTAGGGCAAATAGCTTAACTTATATTAGCTTCAGCCTGAGTTATTTTTGAATGAGCCCGAGTGGTAAAAATGGCAGAACTCAATTTAAGTATTTTCGATTGTCCATATGTAAATTTATTAATTCCGCACAAAATGCTACAAATGACGATAGGCGACCAGGGCGAAAATCCCAAAAATGATTCTGATGAGCTGGAAGGCGGTGGCGGTGTTGCACTTGGCGCCCTGACAGCAGTAAGTGTGCTCGGGGCGGCCGTGGTATTGGTGGCTGCCGGCTTGCTCCTGCAAATTATCGTTTAAAGGGATTGGGAAGCTTGAGAATCGGCCTCCGCTCAACTGGCTCTCGACGATTATTTTTATGCCAAAGCTTAGGCTTAGGCTTAGGCCACGGGTCAGTTATTCATAGGCTTAAGCTCGGACTTGGCTTACACTTCGGCTGAGCCTTAGCTGAGTCTTGTTAGGGTTAGGCTCCGGCTTATTAGACTTAGGCACGGCCTAGGCTTGGGCTTAGGCTTGGGCTTAGGCTTATGCTTAGGCAGGCTTAAGCTTAGGCTTAGGCTTAGGCTTAGGCTTAGGCTTAGGCTTAGACTTCGGCTTCGTTTTCAGCTTAGGCTTGCGCTTCTGCGTAGGCCTAGGTTTAGCCAGCTTCGAAAGCGTAGGCTTCGACTTAAAAAATAGTAACAGGTAAAATTAGCATCCAAAGATTTAGAAAATTTTAGCAAAAATTCAGGTAAATCGTGTGGCTCATGTGATGCTCCCTTTAAACCTCAGAAACGCACCGGGCAAATATTGTCTCCACAATCCCAGTCGGTCTCCTGCGCGCCGTCATATTCGACAACCATTTTCATACAGTAATTTCCAGAACAATCCACCGTCGTTTTCTAAAAGTAGCGCTTTTGCGGATGATTTAGGTAGTATTTTGGGATACGGTAATGGCTACAGTACATCACTTGTGTGCCGGAAAGTGTGATTGTTTCTGTCGAGGAAACATTGGATTGATAGGGACACGGAGATGAAGGCGACGAAGTATAGGATGGTGGTACGCATCTGAAAATAGAAATTAGGAATTTTCCGGGTATCGTAATATGTGCGCAAACGAGCAGAGATTCTTTGGGAAAACGAAACGCCATGAAAAACCAGTTTTCAGTTTTTGGATGCAAGGCTGCGATCCCTTCGGAATTCTCCATTACCCTAGATCATACCCGGTTCTTGTTCATTATCGGGATCGATGCGGAATTTTTTCCTTAGTGTCCAGTTTTTCTACTATAAAGAGAGAAACAAATTCTTTAATGTAGCTGCACGCAAAAACCTTCGGAATTTTGGTTAATACAAAAAAAAAATCGATTTTTCGCCCAAGGATGGTCAATTTTCTTCTAAAATCTCGAATTAAAAAAGCCTTGCAAGTTTTTTTTGGAAATATAGTTGTATTCTACCAAAACTATTTTAAAACACGTTAAGAGGCATTCCGGGAATCATAAAAGAACTTCGCTGAACTTTACTGGTTTATCTCCTACCAAAAATCGTGGTAAGTGGGGCAAACGAGCCGAAATTCTTTGCGAATTGCTGGCTACTGTAATGGGCTGCAAAAACTCGAATTCCGCACAAAACCCGGCAAATTGTTGACTGGTAATCTGACAGATCGGCATCCCCCGGGAAAGACGCCGGGATTTTATAGATTTACGATGGGGGCCCGGTTCGGCTATTTCAAGGGGGGCTGTAAATTTTCCACCTCGCTACTCGGGACGGATCGGCACGTAAAAATTTTGGACGGTCGCAAAATATTTGACAGGTCTATGAGGGGGGGGTGTCAACGGTTTCAAGGGACTGGAAAGGTAGTGACGATTTACTAGCGTAATCGATTTTTTTTAACGCTAAAAAGCGAAAAATTATAGACCAAATTCTGTGGGTGGTATGTTGTTTTTGGAAGGGAATCCGGTTTTCCCACCGATCATCGGTGTGGGTTTCCGTCTTTGATTCGGGTCATATCTCTCTCTCTCTCTCTCTCTCTCCACTCTCTCTCACTCCCTGTCTCCCTCTCGTCTCTCCCTTTCCCTCTCCCCTCTCCTCTCTCGTCTCTCTCTCTCTCTCTCTCTCTGTCTCTCTCTCACTCTCTCTCCATCTGATTGCGTGGAACGGGATTTGGGGTGGGATAATTAATTGGCCCATTCACTGCAGATCGCCCCCACGTGTCGCCCAGACATTGATAACCGAAAAATACCTAAAAACATCGAAAAACTAGCGAGCTCGCAGTTGATGCAACGTCGGCAAGGAGTTTAATTCTGAAGCAAACCCTCTGGACTTTTTCGAAGGTTTTCACAAATTTAGCACGGCTTCTGTGAAGAGGGTGAGGAGCAATTTGTTGGGTTTTTTCTTCAAGGTTTAGAAAACTTCCTACGCATCTTTATGGTGGTGAAGTCATCTGCTTCAGAATCTCTGCTGCAATTCTCAGGAGCCCAAAATAGCATTTTGGAGGATCTCACGGCAAAAGAAGACTTCAGAAAACCGTACCTATACAGTACAGCTGTATTTTATGTAATTCTAGCGACGTCTTTTGAGTCAAATCTGATGATCTTCTACTATCGATTTCACAATACTGCGACTCCGATTTGCGCTCGTTGTTTCTCTACTCTCGCAAACCATCAAAACACCAAAACGGCTACAGTTTGGGTCCAGAATATTTCTGGAAAATCCGGTCGTTGTCTAACAACACTGTTCCTACCCGGTGCAGCTACTATTTGCCCAGCTTCCCGACGCCGGGCCCCGATTTGGCCCTAAACTTTGGCGCCTCGGGAACAAGTATGGGTCATGTTTTCGGAACAACGAACCATGCAGCGTGGATGCGTGCTGTTTGAACCTGATGGTGATGAGGCCTCGCTGGAGGTTGAGTATAAAATGGAGAGCCGGTGGTGCACAATATCATTTTGGGGCCTTGTGCTTGAAACATGTTGAATCTGGTGGCTGTTGTGGCTTGTGGTGGGTGCCGTACGGTGTCGGAATACGGTATTTTTAGTCTTAATGACCGTGGAGGCCTGCACGGACAATTATTCGGAGTAAGTATATGACTTAGCTCTCTCTCTACCTGTATCTTTCTCTCTCTCCGGACTCTCTCGCTCTGGCTCTCGCTCATTCTCTCACGCTCTCTCTCTGTCCCTCTCTCAACCCGCGATTTTCTAGATGCACCAACTGGGCGTCCAACGGCTTCTGTACCAACACCTTCTACACCACGGCCGAGCGCGCTGAATATTGCCCATATTCATGTAATTTTAACGTCTAGAGCATGACAAGCTGAAAGCGAGAGAGAGAGAGAGAGCGAAAGAGAGAGAGGGGACGGAGGGCGAGAGAAAGGGCTAGCGAGGGGAGAAAGAGAGCGGGAGAGAGGACCAGTATCCAGCGAGAGAGATAGAGAGACGAATATCTAGCGAGAGAGAGCAAGCGAGACAGTGAGAAAGCCAGAGGAAGAGTGAAAGTTACTAAAACCCCTATTCCAGGCAACCTGTGCTCCACCTCGGCTTCTGGCACCACCTGCACCGACAATTCCAAGTAATTCCCGCAATTACATACCGTAACACATTATCAGTTGCGCTGAGTGGGTGTCTAATGGATTCTGCACAAACACTGCCTATACCACTGCCCAGGTCTGCCTATGTTTGATTTTTTAAGCTTTAAAAGCGTCAATTCTGAATTGACGGTTTTCTAGATTGAAGCCTACTGCCCGAACGCTTGCGGCTTGTGCGGAGCCACGACGGGTAGGACTTAAACTTATTGTTAGGCCTAAGATTAGGTTTAGGTTTATACCTAGGTTTAGGCTTACAAGGGAAGGGCACGTGGACGAAGTGGAATTTCGGAAAACGCTCGCGGCTACCCCCGGGTAATCGACAATGGGGAACACGATGCCGTTGTCCGATTTTCCTGCGGAGGCCTGTGGACAGAGATACAGCACTTCCGGAAAATGATGATTTACATGCGAGAAATTAGAATCCGGGAAGCTTTATTAGGCTCGCCCATCAGTATGGAATCACCGGTTGAATGGCCGATTGGTAAGCAACTCGCTTGATAGGATGGTGATGAGGGTACGGCTCACGATTTTTTCCTTTTGCTTTTTGACTGGAAATTTTTGCACAAGTCCAGAATTTCCGTGACGTGACTCCGACAAAAATTTTTTGAGCGATGAATACCATAGATTTAGCTACCAAAAAAAATTGGAAATGAAAAAATAATCACTAGAATGGGCAGCCATCCCCCAATCAGGCGAAAATTTGATAAAGTTTGTGAAAATATTTTGGATTTGGTTACTCTGCGATAACGTATTAATTAACAATTTGGAGTTATCGCGACCAAAATAGCAATAAAAACTTGCAAAAACTTCCAGTCAAAAAGCAAAAGGAAAAAATCGTGAGAGGGTCCGTACCCTCATCACCATCCTATCAAGCGAGTTGCTTACCAATCGGCCATTCAACCGGTGATTCCATACTGATGGGCGAGCCTAATAAAGCTTCCCGGATTCTAATTTCTCGCATGTAAATCAGCATTTTCCGGAAGTGCTGTATCTCTGTCCACAGGCCTCCGCAGGAAAATCGGACAACGGCATCGTGTTCCCCATAGTCGATTACCCGGGGGTAGCCGCGAGCGTTTTTCGAAATTCCACTTCGTCCACGTGCCCTTCCCTTGTTAGGCTAATTTAGGGTTAAGCTTAGGATTATGCTTGAGCATAGGCTTAGGCTTCGTCTTAGTCAATAGACTTAGGCTTAACTCTTTCTTTCTGTTGAATTAGAAGCTCAAACTTCATTTAGCCGCCTCAACCGCCACCTCAACGGCCAGCTCCAGCTCCACAGCCAGCTCGAGCTCAACGGCCAGCTCTTCGAGCACCGCTTCGAGCAGCAGTACTGCCTCCACCACAGCCGCCTAAAGGAAACCAATGGTTTTAACCTGCGATAAAGAAAATTCCATTCAAAGGATGGACTACAAAGTACAACTTCACACCGGAGCTGCAGGCTAGAGTGCGGGCTCTCTCTCACTCTCTCTGTCGCGCTGTCTCGCCCTCCCTTTCTCTCTCTCCCTACCCGTATCTCTCTATTCTTTCTCTCTCTCTATCTATCTCTCGCACTCTCTGTCGAACTCGCTCTCTGTCTGTCTCTCGCTCTCTCTCTCGCACGCTCTATTTCTATCGTCTCTTACCTCAAATCCTCCTTAATCGAGCAATTTCTCGATTCTCATCTTCTCCTTACAAAGACCACATTTGTATTGTTGAGAATCAAAGAGTTATTTGAAGCGATAAATAGATCCACCCGTCCATTGTTGTCTCAGAGAGAAGACGTCAGTAAATATGCGGAGAAGCGAGGGATGGCCAACGTGCAGAGGATCGCCGCGGATTATCGCCATTTCCCATATCGCTCTTTTGGCGAGACGGGCTGCTGGATTAGGGGTAGCCAGTAGCGGTGGCTTCAATTGCATTTTTGGTGATTTTGGCGGGATTTCTGTAGCTGGTTGTAATCTGTATTTTACAGCAGCCAGACAGTCAACTGGAGTGAGGCAGTTTGTATAATTTTGTAGTAAACTAGCGTATTTAAAAACACATTGAATTGAATACTCCGAGGAGATGATCAATGCCTTGAAGCCGTTTGGGCTGATATTGGGTAACTCGTGCTCTTGCACATTGTCGTTCTCACTCCATATCTTGTTCTCTCTTGCTCTCGCTCGCACTATATCTCTCTCGCTCTATCTATCTATGGATTTCTCTCGATGTTGGTTGCCTTCTCTGATCAACGACTTGTAGACGCTCAGGCTTACAATAGATTAGATCAGGAGACCTACCTGTTTATCATGGCCGTATCTCTCTCACTCTCTCTTCCTTTATCTCTCCCTCGTTCTCTCTCTCTCTCTCTCTCTCTCTCTCTTTCTCTCTCTCTTTCGCTCTCGCTCTCTCTCTCTCACCACCAGGAGTCAATATTTTTTCGATTATTTTCTTGCACTTTCCCGTCACCCTGCCCAATCCATCTCCAACCCATCTCCCCAATTTCTTCGAGCCAAGTGTGAATTTTGTCTGTGTGCGTGTGTGCAGTTGGGCTGTTGAGATGGGGTGAGTGACTACCTTGTTGAATAATGGATGGACCCTCCTGGCCGGCCCCTTTAATTTCCCCCGTAATTTGGATTGGGGTGTAGACAAACGGCGAGAGAGAGAGAGAGAGAGAGATAGTGAGAGAGAAAGAGAGAGCCAGACAACCGACAACGGGATATTTGTGATTGAGGGGAGGAGAGTGTACTCGTCTTCTTCTGGAAATTGCGGAAAAAGAGAAGCCGGATTTGCTTGCCATATTGGTCGTGGCAAGGCAACATGGATTGGCGAGAAAAAGACGGGGATTACGGCACTATTTGTTTGCGTGACTTGCTTAAGGATCTCTGCTAGCTCTCTCTTACTCTCTCTTTCTTACTCTCTTTCTCGCTCTCTTTCTCTCTCTCTCTTTCCCTCTCTCTCTACCTCTCTCCCGCTCTCTCACTCTCTCAATCTATCTCTCCATCTCGCTACCTCTCGCTCTCTCTTTCTCTCTCTCTCTCTCTCTCTCTCTCTCTCTCTCTCTCTCTCTCTCTCTCTCTAAGGTTTCCATCCAAACCTTCCTTAACTCCTATACAAAACCCGCCGAAAACACAT